AAGCAACTGAACGGCTGCAATGTTTACCACTGTCTCCGTCTCAACTGGAGGCGAGTAAATGGAGCAAGCGTATCACAATCGTTGTCAGCGCCGATTCTATAATGTGTCTGCGTGGAAGGTCGAATTGGTCAGGTTTCGATCGAGGTTTAAGGTCATGGCACGCACGGTGAGGTTCTTCATCCTCGCACATTCTCCACCCACTCGCGGCCTTTTTTCCATCGTACCTGTAGCAATTACTGCCTCTCTTAATGCATGTGTGTGTATGAAACACCGTCTTACAATGATGGGGAAACAAGAGCAGCAATTGGACCGCGTTTTATGAAAAGGAACCAAGCCACATCAGCTATTGCCAAATTTAACTAGGCAATATAGTTTTTTTGCGAGAGAACGTTTGTACAGATTCTTTTGAAAATTTTAAGGAATTTACTTCGTACTATGCAGAAAATGCACTGAAATTTTCACGAAGATCCGCACAACCGTTCTCATGTAAAACATTAAATTGCTCAGTTAAATTTGGACCGCGTTAAACAGAAAGGAACCAATCCACATCATCTATTGCCAAATTTAATTGGGCAATTTCATTTTTTACATGAAAACGGTTGTGCGGATTTTCGTGCGAATTTCATTGAATTTTTTCCATAGTGCGAAGCAAATTCCTTAAAATTTTCAAAAGAATCCGCACAAACGTCCTTGTAAAAAATTAAATTTGGCAATAGCTGATGTGGCTTTAGTTCCTCTCTGTTTAACGCGGTCCAATTTGAATTGCGGGCCGAGTGATACCCTCTGCTTTTTCGAGTCGTCTCCGGTTTGATGATCCGTCTGGTGCCCACTTTCTGAAGAGAAGCAATAAATTGATAATCAATATGTGCTCATGTCATTTTAAGAAGAAAATATTCTTATATAGGTATTAAAATGTCCTCAGGTTCGAATTTTCGAATTCCATTCTGCATTCGCTGCGGTTCAAGTTTTGCAGTTTACTTAAATGAGCGTTTGATCAGTTCTTATCTTTGCCGGTTTTTTTGTCCTCTTTTTTTCGTCTTACGTTTGTATTTACGATAAACCCCAATGATTCTCTCTGTGGAATTTAACCTAAGCTCCATATCGTGATAAAATCAGTTTAGCCTATTTCCTCATGATTTTTCCTCTACAGTCAGTTCGTGATAATTTTCTTCTTTTTTCTTCTTTTTAAAACTTCATTCTTAACTTCGTAAATTTCTCTCTTTTTTCCAATAGGTTCGAATTGTATTCAAATGTTTCGAAGAATGTCTGTCTGTATTTGCCCACCTCAAGTCTCAAATCACAATTATTCACCTGGTGCAGTCTCCTTTGTTGCGTACCGTACATCCTCGCTTCTCCCTAAATCGTCGCTCCTCTGACGTAAGGGCGTATCTCGATTTCCGCATGAGCCCCAAAAAAGCATGGGCTCATATGTAAAGCAGGGCTAACGTGAAAATTGAGGTACGCCCTTACGTCGGAGGAGCGACTAAATGTCTGAAGTTGCAGAGTGATCCTCTGATCGCAAGCTCGGCATTTTCCTCGCAACCAAAATCGCGCTTGAGTTGCAACCGGTTTATTCGCCCATGAATTTTTACCCGCGACAAGTCAACCGGTCTCCGAACTTGTACTTTCCGCTAGCGATCGTGACGTAACTCTTGAGGTCATGACTTCTTCCCGGAATATCTGCCTCACGCGTCATACAGCATTCGGACGTATCTATGCCAAAAGGAACTATGCACCAATGAATTGAATCAAAAGAGACTATGGAACACGCGAATCCCATTTACATAGTTCATTTTTACTTAATATATTTTTGCCTAGTCCTTTTTTTCGAAACTACTCCAGTAAACGATTATCATAAGCTTATCTGAACGGCACCAAGTAACCAAATGTAGCCGAACTACACTAGTCATTGCCTACTTTGACCTCTTGGTGTATTGTTTCACCAACAAAACTAACAATAATTTAAATTCTACCTTGAACCGTGAGTAACGTGTTACTCATAACTAAGTAAAAGCAAACAGAGAAGAAAAGTGTTTTGTTTGGAACACAGAGGCCCAAGAATTGAATAGGGCATTTGAATTGGGCATTTGGTGGCCCAAGAATGAAATAGTTGTATCTATATATTGAATAGATCCATTTGCCGTCTATCGATTGTCTCGAAAAATGCGTGTCAAATACGCACTCTCGCGAAAGCTTTCGCTGAGAAGTCTTATGAAAATGCACTCACTTTTTCAAAATGTCGTTCGATATTCACTAAAATCCCCATTTGAGGGGCTTGGAGGACAAGGCGCATAAGTGCAGTTTTTTTTAAAAATCGAGATATTTATGATTTCAAATAAAACTAGTCTTGATGCATATTCTGTGAGAGATTCCCTCCCAAATTCCAATTTTTAAGCATCAAAAAGTCAGTTTGAACTTTCTTTCCGCCATAAAGATCCGTGTAATTTCAATACTTCCAACGCGTATTTCTCAAAATAGCAAAAACTGCACTTATGCGCCTTGTCCTCCAAGTCCTTCTTTTAAACATTGCAAACACTCATCTAGGATTCCAGATTTCTTTATATTTTTCGAGACTTTTACATTAAACAAATAGCCAAAGCAAAAACGAAGTTCTCTCCAGTTAATCACTGGGAGAAAAAAAAGCCCAAGTATCGTGAAATCTCCGTTATAAAATAAAGTACCTATGAAAGGAATTTGAGCGATGCTTATCGAAATTAAGCTTGAAAACGTTCAATTGATGAGGAGAAACAGGGGCCCTACCAGTAGCGAGTCTAGAAAGTTGGCAACTCTGTTTTCCCTCCATTTAAATGTATGTTTAACAATCGATTTTTGGCAAGGCAGCTTGTCTCGCGTAAAATCGATATTTGTAATGGATGTAAATGGAGGAAAACCAGTGTTGGCAACCTGTAGAATCACCACTGGGCCGTAACAAAAAGTCCAGAGACGGAACAAGACATGCGTGAGACGAGCACTTATCAAGTAGGCCTTTTAATCATTTAATTCACCTTCAAAACGTAAGTGATCAAAGCAATCCTTGTTTACTATTCTATTAAATGTCGGGGCTGACTAAAATTATTATTTGATTGACTTACTAGAGGCGTTCTTTCCTGCGTAATGGAAGCCACCTCTGAAAGTAAGGTCGATCGATAGGAATCTTCACAAAACTGTAATTCTCGTGTTAGACCCCACTGAACAATTGCCTCTTCGTGTCATCAAGTCGATGTTTACTTCGAATTTTGTTGCTCAACTTCAATCAAATGCAAAAATGATGATCATACTTTTCATCAGAAAATGCAAAGATGGGTACTTACAGTGGGTACCAAGATATCCATCAAAATTCGACGCTTTCGGGTGTTGCCATTTAAAAAAAGGAGGAAAAATTACCTTATTTTGATCAAGAAAATTCACGCTATTAACATCTATGTACCATAGATGCATAACGTTGTTCAATGACATTTCTGTGATTTTTTGCAAAAATTACAGGGGCCCTCTGGTTAAAAATTAAAAGTTTCAACTCAAGTGTCATAAATTTGGAGATCAAGTCATAAGTCCCCATGTTTCCTCTATGTCCTTCTGTTTATTAACACTAGTAGTTCTACTTAAGGCTTAAGGCATTCCCTACAATCCTGCAGTCACCAACCCCTTCGATCGCCGCGAGCCTCAAAAAAGTAACTGGCAAGGCTTTCGATCATGCGATCTTCTTACTGTCCGAATCACGAAGTCTTTAACCTTGTGTCTTTCCACACACCATCGGCCAAAATTTCGCAGTTCTCTCGAAGATGAAACGAACCACTCAACCCTAAGACGTACTGCTTGAGGCTTCAAATCCTCACTCATTACTCGGTACTCGTTTTTTCGCCCGATTATTTTTACGATCCGAATGTAGTCCGGTGTCGGCTCGCGGCGCGTCGATGCGGTGCATCAGGAGGAGAGGCAAAATTCTCATCTAAGTGGCCCGAGGCAGGGCCATAGACTCACTAAGGCCGCGAAGGTGCGAGAAGGTTATCCAGCGTTGCCAAATTCTGCTCTAATTGCTGACGAGCTCCGGAGTAATTTGAATTTTCTGGCGTCGATTTGGTAATTCTTGGCTGAGACGATCATAAGTGCCCTGGATCCGTTGTGAACCTTGCAGTTTATCTCGGCGACTATCATTCCTGGCTGAGTCATTTTTATACCGATGTGACGCAGTGGCACTCCAGTTCTCGCTGCGCGTGAATTCAAATTACCCGCTACAATGGTGTGGTAACTTTGATATCTGACTCGGGTATGACGCCAGGGGTGCCAAAAAAAGGTTCCATTACTCTTGGAAATTGATTTAAGGCCCAAGGTCCGCATGAATTTTTTTTGCGATCCGCGGATCAAGAGATCGGAAATTTCACGCATTCTTTTACTACTGTCCAGGGGGACAAAACACTCATCGACAAATTTCTGCTTGCAAATCAACCTCTCCTCCCCTCCCCCATCTTTCTATTAAAATCTCCTAAATCATTGAATTTTGTTACGAGTAGCCTTCGCTGACTAGTATCAAATGATTACAGGAAGTTTTAAACCAAAATTTGTGTCAAATTTTTCTCTCAAAAAGGATTAAAAAAAAACAAATTTGAAAATGTTTTCTCCTTATCGAGATGATATACTCAACTTGGGATACTTAAACTTTAAAGATCAATCGTAACGAAATTGGTCATTGTTAGTAGGTGCAGATATTGCCTATCTATGGAGAAGTGAAGCCTGTAACTATTTTCAGAAGTCAAAAAGGCCATGAAGATACAACAGGAGGATATTTTTGTTTTGTAGCCTCTGCAAAATCAAGCCGACGTGCGTACATCAATGATCTTCAATGGATTTAGTCCCATTAAAAACATACCTTAAACATGCTCTTAAAACTTGCCTTTAACACCAAATATATTTCTTTCTTTGGGTTGAGAAATTTTAAGAAGCAATTTTTTTTAAAGCATTCAAATTGCAGGGATTAATATTTTTGTTCACCTCTTTTGTTTCAGGGCTGACATCGCACTTATCGGTTTGGCCGTCATGGGTCAAAACCTGATCTTGAACATGAACGATCATGGGTTCGTCGTCTGCGCGTACAATCGTACAACAGAAAAAGTGGACCAATTCCTCAACAACGAAGCCAAGGGAACTAAAGTCATTGGTGCCAAATCATTAGAGGATATGGTCGCCAAACTGAAGAAACCAAGGCGTGTCATGATGCTTGTCAAAGGTTTGTTAAAATCTTAACTTGAATTTTCGTAGGAAGTAACTCGAAATTTGACCACTCAATTGAATTTTCGAAACAAATTGTACGTCACAGTTTTGTAAATCAAGAAAAACCGTTGCAGATACTCCTAAATTTTATACTTTTGTCTGTAGCCGATAAATTGAATGCTAAAATGGTTAATTGGTACCAGAAATACACTTCATCAAAGAAGGTTGGGGGAACTTCCTCTGCTTCAAAGGGGGGAGGGTGGTTGGGAAGACTTCCTGAGCTACAAAAAGAGGGGCTTCCTCAGGAAAATTTTTAAAAATTGAGTCATGCAGTAGCAATTCTGTGTCGTTTTTACCAAAAAATTGGTTTGAATACATTTTCAAAGATTAAAGTTATGTCACGCCCTTGTTTAGAGAAATCCTCTACATTTAATGTTTAAGGGACCAAGTAGGTTTCTACAACGCCGCTGTATTCCTACCCATAGTTTCTACTACCAAGTTTTAAGGACTGAATAATCCCATGGTTTGAAAATCATTAGTTTGCAGAAGATTTTCCAAGGGCGATGTTTCTAGTTCATCCATTTTTTACAAACGTCCCTTGAACCATTTTCATTTTCAAAGAGCCCTGTGTATGAAGCAGGTTTGGAAGTATTACCTGCACTTGATTAAAAAAATTATTGTTGCGAAAGATAATATGTGGTTTTTCTTTTTCAAACAAAAATGACTGTTTAATCCAATTTTTCCCAGGTTTTTCAAATATTTCTCAAACACTCATTTTGTAGTGTTACATCTCACCTAATATGTTCTCATAATATGTTCTATAAAAATAGTTTTGTATAGTTTTTAATAGGATTTACCCATTCTAAAGATGTCTCGCAAATATTTAGACCTCGCTAATTTCCTCTGATTTCCTGTTTATTTTATAGCTGGAAGCGCTGTTGATGACTTCATCGCAAAGCTGGTCCCACTCCTAGAAAAAGGTGATATAATCATTGATGGTGGTAACTCTGAGTATCAAGACACCCAAAGACGAACCAAATCTTTGGCTGAGAAAGGAATATTATTCGTAGGTTCTGGTGTCTCTGGTGGAGAAGAAGGAGCCAGATATGGCCCCTCTCTAATGCCGGGAGGTAATCCTGCTGCTTGGCCTTACATTAAAAACATTTTCCAGGTAATTTATTGATCCTTTTACCTAACTTGGACTCAACACTTAAATTACAACCCGTTCCTACAATTGCCTAATTTTTGTTATCAAATGCTGTGAAAACATCAGCGAATAGAAGCTTTAACGAATCCGCCAACCATGAGAGTAATGTCTCTATTTTACTCAGTCTACTTCCTTCTATCCAGGGATTCCAGGGGTTCGGCAGTTCATGCATGGTAACTCCCCCATTATCCACCCATCACTTATCCAGTGCTCTAGTCATCAGGTGTAACAATGAGGCACATTTACGCGTTATTTTCTTGTTTTTTCTTCAATTTTATTTTTTTTTTTCTTCTTTATTTTGGTCTTTTCCATGCATATTTATGTTTTATATGAATTTCCCATTATTCAGTGTTTTTGGTATCAGCTCTGACTCCTGCTACTATTTATCGAGGTATCACTGTACAAGTATGAAACTTCATATGAACTACGTTCCACAATTTGGAAGTACTATTTTCGGCTCATCGATAAAATCGCCTATCTACATAGGGAAACCAGTACTTTTTTAAAGTATATTTGGCTGTTTCTTTCAAGTTAGTAATTAGTATAGCCACACACTGCCTCTAATTTTTCTATTTATATCTCTAGAAAACTGCGATGAAAGTTCTCTAGAAACTGTACCTTTTGTCAGTCAAATATTTATTCCTTTGCTGCAATCATTTGAAAACTATTAAATGTTTGTTTTTTTGACAAGTGTACCACTGATATTCTTATTGATGTCTTCTTATTGATGTCTTATTAACTTCACGTTTTTTCTTCTTTCTTTTTATGCATTCTCAATTTCTTCATTGATTTTTTCAGTCAATCGCTGCTACAGCAAATAATGAACCCTGCTGTGATTGGGTAGGAGAAGACGGAGCTGGTCACTTTGTCAAAATGGTTCACAATGGTATTGAGTACGGAGATATGCAACTTATTTGTGAAGCATACCATCTCATGAAATCTGCTTTAGGGATGGATAATGAAGAGATGAGCAAAGTAAGTCACTCCTTCATTTTTTTTTTTTCTATGCAGAGGTGAAGTTTCCCTCTTTTTGTCAGCCACTTGACTCTGGAGGCATTTTATTATTTTATTATCTGACAAATTTGAAACTAAGATGTAACAAGGCTTTTAAGTATGGAAATGGAATAAAATATGATGGATCGAAACTAAATAGACATGAGAGGTGAAACTTTCATGATTTTTCATGGCTTACTAGGTAACGTTAAATTTTGTCACTCGTATATTTATCCAAACAGAATAGAAAACAGAAGTCCCTACATCAGTAATATTGGCACCAAGGAAAAGTGTTTTCATCGGTATAATTTTTTACTGATTCCCTCTAGAATTTTCAACAAGGTGGTTCTTAGTATCGTTGATTACTCATGTAAGTTATTCATGAAACCTACTATCTGTTGAAATGCTTTGTCAGTTGTTAAAAGAAGTAAAGAGTATGCTTAACCCTTTTTTAAGGATGTTCCTTCTCAACGTTTCGTCTCTTAGATTGTTTTTATACCCATCTTCATCATTACTCTCAACTTTTTATCTTGATTTTGCACAAGCTTGTCTAGTATCATGGTTATCAGGGTTTCAAGCGGTCTTTAAAACCTTGAAAATCTTGGAATTATGCGAGTAGTGGGTCAGCTCACCAACTTTAGCTTGTGCCATTCAAGAGAGAGCGAACAAAGGCTAAGTGTCCTTTCCTTTAATTTGAATCTCTAGAATTATAACTATTATCTAGAGCTTAAAAAAAGTCGGGGCAATCTAAAGGGAAAATTGACATGGAACTTCTGCTTGAAGATCTGAGAAGGTCAGGGCATGTCCGAGAATTCGGAACTTTTGGAGACAGGAAAAAGCCAAAAAGCCAAGGAATTGGAAAATGAAGACAAGCAGTGAACTCCAACACAATGTGTTGATAAGGCGCGTCATTAACTCGCACATATCAACCCCTTTAGTTTTCATTCACAGAGATTTCAAAAAAGGCAAGCAGCACAACAAGAGAATTCACGATCCAACACTGCAAGGTCAACGACGCACCTTGACGAGACCGTGTATTGTGAATCTAGAAAGTTATTCGAACAAATTTAAGTTTTTTGATCTGCCTCAAGCAAAATCTTATCAGATTCTTGAAGAAAAGTGCTACGAAAAAATTTAAGCGAAGAAAGGAAAAATTCTGTCGAACACCTAGAAGATAAAGTCGATTTAAAGGTATTTTGGGGCTAAAATACCCAAATCACCGGTATTATAAATCCCGTTATATTATTGAAAAGAAATTGACTCGATATAAATGCAATTGTATTAAATATGTCTTGATTTTGTTATTTTAAACGTCTTTTCATGCAAAGAAGCTCAACCATGTCCATGCTTTATTCATTCATGAATTGAAAGTAAGCAATCCACATCCCGAAAATTTACCGATTTGCCGTAAAAAATCGCAGAAACTTGATATACCAGGTCGATGTATACCCACTCTTTGAATTTACCAATCAATTTAGTGAGTGCACGTATGTGAAAGTCAAAATGCTGTAGTCATTTTGGGTGCATTCATTTTTCATGAAACAATTGTAAGTAATTTCAATCCCGAAAAACCATAAATTTTCCGTATAAAATCGAAAAAATCAAAATATGTCGACTCCCTGACGTGAAAATTAAATTCTACGTGTGAAAATACTTATGTATCGATATGCTGAACAGAATGCCCGCCTCTCCTCGTAATTTACAAACCGTTCCTATACTCATCTCAAAATTTTTCTCAGAGCTTTGTGTTATTATCAGCTTCCACTTAAACCCCGGTTCGATGGCCGAATCGGCTGCCCAAAAAGCAAGCCATTTTTGAAGGGCTCTATGAGAAATTCGTGATATTATCAGCTCTCAGGAAATCACCCCATGGGTAAAATTGCTGGTATAAATTTCCGAGTGCTTAAAATAATCGTATTCAAGAAACTAAGGCATTAAACTATGGAGTCAATTTCGTTTTAATAATATAACGGGATTTACTTGTCTTCAGGTCAAAACTCATACAAGGAAGCCCCTTGCAAGAGGCTAATTTTTTGTAATTTCACTCAATTTTTTCTCCTTTTTATAATTGAATTGCTTGTCAAATTCTGAGGTCAATCATTTTAAATTGTAATTTATACATTTCTTTTTTTCCCCCTTCATTTTATTTTTTGTTTGGAGAAGTTTTGTTGATTTCTTCCGATATACTGAATACGGATATACTGAATTCGGAATACTGTAACTTCTCTTCTATTTGGCCGATTTTTATGAATGAGACCTCTTTTAATTCGTGTTTCAACGGAGAGTAAGGAAAACATTGCTAAAAACTCGCAAAACAATTTTTTTTGAAAATTGGGCAAATCCTAGCGTGACGGTGAAATGGTTAATGAAGCGTAAGTAATTGGGCGAGGGGCTGAGGATCCCGGCCTCGCTTGGCGACCGTCATCAGCTGTTGTTCGTCGAGACGCCGACGCAGTGATCAGGAGCGTGGGGAAGAGAGGGGTTAGTGGATTCCTGTATGAGCCACGTTTAGCTAATGGTCTAATGAGTCTCGAGGCTCATCACAGATTGCACTATCAGAGCTCGGGTACCAACTTTTGAAAAGTATAACCGAGGTTACAGATCTGTCAAAGCAACGTCTTGAACAAAACGGAGGAGTTAAATTCTCATTCCGAGAGTGCCGACCTGCTCAGCCATCCTCGAATCAATTCGCTTGATTCTGCTTACATATGCATATTTTAAATCAGCGCGTCGCATTCTTAGGCTGTTTCTAAAAAAACCAAGTAACGTAGACTCTTGGTATTCACTGCACATAAACTAGAGACCCCCAGAATGAGAAACAACTTTAAATCATAATTATTGATGGATAAATAAACTTTTTACACGCTTTGGAAAATCTCAGAAGTTCGCGGTAGTCACTTTTCGGTAAGGAACTAAGGGACTCGGTTATTGTATCGAGCAGGGTTCGAAACGATCGCAAAGGCGGTATACTACGTATACGCGCCAAAATTATGGAAACCCTGGGCTATGCCTTTGTTGCTATTGAAGATTACCGACTTGAGAAAATATATGCCTCTGTCGCTATTCAAGATTACTGACTTGAGAAAATATGCTGCACAGCCATGTCTTCTAAACTTGCCTACCTAGGTCTTCTTTTCTCAATATGATTTTGAATTTTTTGGGTAGGTAGCTCCAACTTAAGTCGATTTTAATCAAAATAGCAAGTGTGAATTTCAGTACATTGTAAGTATTTACAATGATTTTGAAGGAAAGGCTCTGCATAAAACCAGTGAAAATGTTTGACCGCACATCAACTCCTTTATCCCAAGTCATTAAGTCATGTTTTACCTTCCTAAATGAAACATGGCTCATAAAAATATAATTTTCTTTCTTTTGGCAAAAATTATTCACATGTTCACTGTCATTGAAATTTTACAGGTCTTCGAAGATTGGAACAAAGGCGAACTTGATTCTTTCCTCATCGAAATTACTAAGGATATTTTGAAGTACAAGGACACAGATGGTAAGTAAGGCTCTCTATTTGTCTTAATCATCCAAATTTTAATTTTTTCTTTGGAATAGCATTGGACATAACAAGCTCATCTCAAAGAACTCAACCATGATAACGGGCCAGTTGCGCTAGTCACAGAATTGTATTTTGATGCTTGATTCTTTTAGATTAGCTAAAAATATTAAGATCTGTAAAAACCGCAACTTTCTATATTCAATACTAACCGAGATATCGCCCTTTGAAAAATCGGGTTTTTAACATCATCCACCGTGGTAATGACAGTCATGGTTTCTTCCATCTTGCTTTCATCTTCGTTTCATGTAGAATAACCAGTGCTAACGGTTGTCTCCCTAATTGATAAAACCAAGGTGGAAGAAACCAAGGGTGTCATTCCTGTGGTGGATGACGTCAAAACCGCGACTTTTCAAAGGGCGATATCTCAGTTAATCTTGAACGTAGAAAGTTGCAGTTTGTACATATCTTGATATTTTTAACTAATCCACAAGAATCAAGCATCATAACACAATTCTGTGACTAGAGCAACTAACCTACTTCCAGTAATCCGTATAGCAGTGCAAAAATTTATGTATTCTTAAAATGGTTGCATGAGAGTTGAAATACTCTGGTTTTCTGTGCTTCTGCCATGTTGACCCACCGTACAAGTCACTAATATTCTAAATCATGACAGGCACTCAAAATTTTTTATAATTTTATAAGAATAAATTTTTATAAACAAATACTGAAATAAATGTTAAAAAATCTAAAGACTCCTTCAAGTCAACAAGTTTTTAAATAGTTTCCTTGGTTTATGTTACAATTATGAATTTCATGGATCTCAGCAGTGAATATGTTTACCTCATGAATATTTTTTTTCTTTCATTTAAAATTAGGTAAATTTTTGGTGGAAAAAATCCGTGACAGCGCTGGTCAAAAAGGAACAGGAAAATGGACTGCAATCTCTGCTTTGGACTATGGTATTCCCGTAACGCTAATTGGTGAATCTGTCTTCTCAAGGTGTTTGTCTTCTCTTCTTGATGAGCGTGCTCAAGCAAGTAAAGTTTTGTCTGGTCCACCTACCTCCAAATACCAAGGGGACAAAAAAGAGTTCTTGGAGGATATTAGAAAAGTAAGTGTTTTACTTAAAAATTAAATAGTAGAAAATGCATATCGTGTCACTGGTTAGTGTGAGATTTGAGGCCAGGTGGCGCAGTTTGGAGTTTAGAACTGCCACAGTCATTTTGCTTGTGACATATCCAGCCAGACTCTTGGGAGTGGTTCTGTACCCATAAATATGTTTAGGGCATCTCTCAAAAAGAGGCATTATTTTTCAGCAAGGAAAATGTTTTAACAGATTAAACGTGCCAACATGAAACAACTGTTGCAAACTAAAGCTTCCTGGGTTTAAATGTCTAATTGATTATTAATGACTGCATCTGATGTTTAAACATCCATGACATGTCCAAATATGAAGTTTGTACATCTATGAATGAAGATGTCTTCCTTTGCAATATGTTATAACTCAGATGGAAGACTGAAAAATCATCTCAAGTTCATAATCTCTCTTTATATTTATATTTCTTAAACAAAAGATGCGTAATCATGATAGAAGGAAAATAATATAGATGTATTTAAGCTGCAGGGGAAAACGTCCCCTAATCGCAATGCAGCAATTATGAACATTTTCATGGTAACACATTTACAGAATCAAGGGTGCAGGGAAATGCTTTGAAAATGTGGAAAAGCCCCCAAAAATGTGTGAGGACGCAACATTTTGAAGGGTTAGAAGTCAAAAATCATAGGAAAACAGGAGTCAAAGGTCATATTTTTTAGATTGGTGTGAAATTTGGTGGAAAACCAATGAGAAAAATGTGAAAAGCTGGCATGCAGGAGTGTGAAAATGTGGAAGCTTGGAAGATTCTGCACCCCTGTACAGAATTAATTCACACAAACCATGATTCAATTTATCTTTTGGCAACACATTGACTGAACTATTCACACAAATTCTCTTCACAAGCCTGTGATGTATGATGTAAATAAACCAATCTCACAGGCGAGTTGATGCTATGTCCTTACCTGCTTTTATCTATCTTGTCGTTAAACTGTGTACGCACATGATTTTATTTTACGGATTTTCTTGTTGTATTCCAGGCTCTTTACGCGTCAAAAATCATATCCTATGCTCAAGGTTTCATGCTGATGCGAGAGGCAGCTAAGATTCATAAGTGGAATTTGAATTACGGAGGTATTGCTCTGATGTGGCGTGGAGGTTGTATTATTAGAAGGTTAGTTCCTAACTTTCTTTTCTACTTGTCAAATGGGCCTGTTGCAAACTTTTGCTGGAGCAGAAATAAGAATTTTCTCTCGTAGGAAATGGCTCAAAAATCACAATAAGCGCATCAACAAAGTCTGAAATGCACTCCTAACTTCACAATCTGCGCAAGAAATTTGTGTTTTTTTGAGCTTCCTGCTTTAAAAACGATACTACGGTACAGGTGGACATTTCATGAGAGGAGTCGTTTCTTCTAACCTCTGTGCAGTAGGATACTGCACAATATTCAACGTGGCCAATGCCAATCTGCCAAAACCGCCAAAACTCACGTGCCGGGATGAGATTCTAACCTTCTGTTAAGAACCTGGCGTGTTTACATTCTCGTTTTCCTCGCATTAATAAAGATCCGTCTTGATATCATCGGTTATGTTGAGTATTGCAAAACATTCTAGTACGCAAGGGTTGAATGGAACCACTCCTCTAGCAAAATGTTCACCTGTGCCGTAGTACCGTTTTTTGAAGCGGGAAGCTTAAAAAAACGCAAATTTCTCACGGAAATTGTGAAGTTAGGTGTGTAATTCAGACTTTGCTAATGCGCTCATCGTAATTTTTTACCCATTTTTTCTTTAAAAAACAACTCTTACTCTTGCTCTAGCAAAAGTTTGCAACAGGGCCATGACTGAACTACACATTTTGATTGAACTACATTTTGCAGTTATATTATTTCTGGCTTATTTTAAAATCAACACATGTGCCATTCCATTTTGTGTACAGATAGGTGCTTTATGGGTGGGTGAGGATTATTAATTCTTTATTTCATATTGTAGCCCAATTAGTAATCATATCGAAGCATGTCGATGGTGTAAGTCCGCAACCACGTATCTCAGTTTGCGACATGGCAGACTTCCTGCAGTTCATTTTTTAAATGGAAAACTACTTAATGGCAATTCCTACAAACCGCCGTGATTTTTCTTATCTGGACTAAGAAAATTCTGCGAAAACTTCAAGGAATGGTGTTGCTTTGTTCTCCTTTAAAAAGATAAAATAAGAGCGGAAATTTTCTATCAACACGAAGGAGAAATGTGATTGTGAACTTACACTGTCAATGTGTATAGTGAAGCAATGTGACCATAGTTAATAAAGTATCAGTCTACCAACATGATACTTTTTCAAGCCTAGTTTGTTCTGGTGTGCATGAATGATTTCATAATGTTACCATATATGCACAAATATTTTTAATAAAGAACAGAAATTAAAATGAAATTACCCACATATCCTCAGTTTTTATCTCTGTCATTGACTGCTAGATTACTTTTACATCATGAAGCGCCCTTTAGTATAGAATGATGTTGATCAGAATCCTGTTTTTATGATCTCCCAGTCCGTAGTCAATTTTTCTCTTGGAAATTTAAACCACTACAAATCCATTGCTGCACTTTGCGCTGGGCTCTGTTCTTTTTTGTGGTTTTTTTGATTCGGAAAAAAAGAAGAGGGAAAATTAGATAGAAGCCAAATCTAAAGGTTAGGAAACATCTTGAAAATCGGAGAAAAGAAAAAGGAATGCTAGACATCCTACTAAGCTTGTCTCTTTCTTCAACTTACTTAACTTTTCATTCTTTCTTTTAATTAATGATTTTTTATTTTTTTTTCCTAAAGTGTGTTCCTTGGAAATATCAAGAGTGCTTTTGACAAAAATGCTAAATTAGCCAATCTTCTTCTGGACCCATTTTTCACCAACGCCATTCAGTCTTCTCAAGCTTCATGGAGGAAAGTTGTTGCTGCCAGCGCAACTCTGGGTATCCCCACCCCAGCTTTTAGCACTGCTTTAGCATTCTATGATGGATACAGAAGCGCACGGCTTCCCGCTAATTTATTACAAGTGAGTAAAGACTATGCTTTTTCATTAGTTCTATGGTATTTAATAAATAAAGTGTTGCAATTTTTAAAAGGTAATCCAAATAAATACAAAATCATCAGATTAAAGACCGTGGAAGAAAAAACCCGAAGTTACTCCTGAGCCTCAATTATAATAATAATAATAATTATAATAATTTTGGTACTTACTCATTCCGATTTTTGACCATCCTATTGAAGGACATTTCGTCATCACTGACATCTTTATCTTAACATAATGCACTTACCCGGCCCCTTCTTTTTTAGTGCAGTAATGGTGAAGAAATAAAAAACCTTTTGAGCCAAAGTGATAAATTGAAAATTCTTGTTTTTTTCTACTTTTCTCCCCCTTTTTTTTATTTCACCTGGAATTCCTTATTAACCCATTCCCTTAATATGACGAGCCTGACTCGTCATGGCCGCGCCGGGACAAACGTGAAATGACGAGTCCCACTCGTCATGCAACTTGGCTACGCGTATTGCCGTGTTTTGATGTTTTCACGATAGACAGCGCCACGTAAATCGACAGATGTTGTAACTAGAAGTAGTGTGACCAACCTGTATTAGTTTTGTACGGTAATTTCCCCGAATATAGGGAATTTTGTTAGTTTGAAAATGTGGAAGACTGGAATAACCTCGAAATTTGCTCTCTGTTTATTTTCTTGTTATCAATGAATCACAACAACGAGATGTAAGCTTATTTTCGCTCTTTTTTCTTATTTTGGTGCTAATTGGTGCTTAGATCTTATTTGAGCACATGTTTTAAGAGTTTTAGAGGTTTTGTGGCTCATTGCATGTACTTTTTCTTACAATAAATAAGATTTTTCTCCTAAATTTAACATTTTTTTTCTTTTTTTCTCAGGAAATTCCCCTAACATAAGCTGACTTACTGCAGAAAAAGTGCAACATCCAGGCAAATTTATTCATATAAACATCCTTCTAGTTATAACTAATAAGAATTAGGCCAAAAACTTGCTCCTAATTATCAGGAAAAGCAGAAAACTAAGAAGAAACCAAATACAGCTTTTTACAGCAAAATTAAATAGTAGCTCTGTGCGCGGGCATGCAAAATTAATTGTTAAGGGAATGGGTTAAGGTGAAACTAGTTTTGAGGTGGGCTATTTTTACTCGAATTCTACCTCTTGTTAATTGTTCTTGAAAAATACCCAAAAAGGCTTTCCTAAAAGATGAACTTCTGCTGCGTTTTTATTAGTTATTTTTTTTTTTAAATTTACGAGATTCTTTGAAAAAATTTTAACAGTCATCACTATAAGGGCAAAACAGATTGACTGTCTTGAGAAGGCTCGATTAAAACAAGTCTAATTTACTTATCGCTGGCCAATTTGAAAAACTCTGCTTTTTCAGCTGAGTGTTGCACTATTTGACAGCAAATTAGCTTGAATTTTTTTTCTGTATGATACCGAAATCATTAAATTAAACCTTAATTTTTCCAGGCACAACGTGATTACTTCGGAGCACATACTTATGAACTTCTCACTGCTCCTGGAAAGTACGTTCACACCAACTGGACTGGCAAAGGAGGCAACACATCTGCTTCAACATATGATGCTTAAGTTCCATTACTATTTTTATTCCGGCAGTTTTTCCCCCATTTTTGCCCAAACTGAGACCTCATAACAACCTCAAAGAACATTCATCTGAACTTTGAAGAATGAAATTTCTTGCATCTGAAACAGTTATCTGTTCTCTTCACTCGAATTGGTTAAAAACAAAAGAGGTCTAACCTCTCTAAATATATCATTCCAAGAAAAGGCTGAAATGATACAATGACTTTTAAAGTTTCCTCTAAATTAGTTTTGCCTTAGGTTTTTTTATTTTTTAATTTATTGCATTTTATACCGGTAAATGTGCATTTCTTAATGCTATTATTTATTTTGCATTATCTTGCCAAATTTCCTTTCTATGCATGTTGCATTTTTATGTGTGTACATCAAACGCATTTCATTTATTCAATATTATGAAACCATCTCTAACGACATTGAGAGTTCGTTTATCAAAAATGTTTTATTTCAAAATGTACTCTTTATTTAAATATTACATTCGTTCCGTCTTAGCAAAAGTGTTTGTAATAATGTCAAAGTGTGATGCACATATGTGATCATGCACATCGTTGTTATTGCAAGAATTTATCTTCTAGCACCCAAATTCAGTTTTTTCTCACAGAAAGTCAAGAATTGTAGCATCTTTAAGCACCTTTAATTATTTATGTGATACTTTTCCTACTTTCTCTACTTAATTAATTTTATTCTTATGTTTGAGTTCAATTTTAGAATTATCTCGGAAGTTACCCGTCCTCAAACAAATCTTGTTGTCTGTTTTCAGTAATCAGTGAATGTTTTGTAGCATTTTTCTAATTGTCATATTTATCGAAGCTGAGTATTTGGAATCTTAAATCGGTCGAAAAGGCACTTAAATATGTTAAGGCACAGTAATCAAATCATCGATTGTTTCAGAACATCTCTTTTTTTCTAATGGCTTTGCAGCCGAAGCGCCTTATGTTGCCTTAAAAATGTTAAATCTTACACCATTCCATACCAACATAATTTAAATATTTTTTTTATCATTCTTTGATGACATTCATTTTTTTTATCTTTATTTTTTTCTGTTCTTCATATTTTAATATTTAAAGAAAGAACAGTCAAACACCAACTGCCTAATAACACTCTTCAACATACTTAGGAATCGTTTTACCATCATTGTTGAACATTTTTAATGTATTTTATGTACTGTTCAGAAAATGTTTTATAAAATTTATTTTTCAAATAACAGATCTTTGTACATATTATTGATTCATCCCCTCCCTTTTCATAGTTAGCAGGGTTTCGGAAGTCTACAAGGCCTGTAACTACTGTAATTACTGAAAATTATATAATATTACGCCAGAACAAACGGAAGAGACTTCGGAGAGTTAAGGAATTTTTTTTAATAAAAGTAATATTTTCTTTCTGTATCAATCATCCCAATGGGTTCTTCACTGATCGATTTTGATCGAAAGATTGGAGAGCTGCATCCTAGGAATGAAGGGCTCCATAAAATTTTGAGATTTCCATCGGAAAGACTGAGAAAAGTACACTCATTTAAATTGATTTCTAAACCGTATATATAAAATTTTACTCTAGTGTCCTATAGCACTGGCAAAAAAAAAAAAAAAAAAACTACTCTACATTGACTCTCATCATTAAAATGCTGTTTCCAAGCATACAAATTTAAACAAAAAAAGTTTATTGAAATATAATGCAAGTCCCATTGAACCTCTTAACTGAGAGCAATGTCATCTAAATGATTTCAGGAAAAGCTAAACCAAATATATGTCACTGAATATTAATAATAAATATTTCAATCTCTTTTATTTCTTCCAAATGCAACATTTTAAGGTCTACATGATACGAAAGAGTCCTGAAGCCTCCAAATTAAGGTTATTAGGACTCCTTCTGTCCACATGGTCCTATTAGGTTTCAGCATTTATGGAAACATTTTGATAGAGCCCCTAGTGTCTCATGCTTCTAAAGGTTTTAGCCCTTGTAGCCTCAAAATTTAACTCCCAGTCCGTTTACGGAGCTCCATTAAGTGGCAAAATTATATTCCCCATTCAAAGTTCTGTATGAGTAAGTATTTAAAGTTTCAAAATTTGCCTTACAAATTCCAGAGAAGTTTTACTATCTTGTAGACTTGAAGCATTCAAAGCATGGAATATTCCAATGCTCAGTTCATTATTAAAGTCAAGTTCCTCATTCAAGGTCCAGGCGTGAATATCCGCTCAAAAAAGTTTCTGAAATGTGCTTGTCGCTAGCCGTAAATTAATTTTATTTCAAAATTTGGATTTATTGTCACCACAAACCTCTTGTTTGCGTAATTCATTTGAATTTTGATTCTCAGCTGTAATACTTTTCGAATTCCCGATGGATAAGTCCAGGGCCAACTTGCAAGGTGGACCTTAAAAAGCAATGTGCGATCAATGATCTTAAAGTTCATCAAGAATTTGATGAGGCTAGGATGGCAAATCTAGGTTGATGTCGATGAAATAGAACAGGCAGAATCTCTAGAGAGGCTTTGAGTCCTAAAATTGAAGTGTGATCAGTGAGATCAATTTAAAAGAATCGCATAAGACGTATTGCAAGTTTCATTCCAATGATAGGATTCTGTAATGTTTTTGGGGCAAAGTGTACCAAAGTGTAATTTTACCTGTCATGCAATACCAACTTTCAACTCAGACTATCTAGTCAAATCATAATCTAAAATGTACAAATAATAATTAAATTCGCAGTAAATTTAAATCAGCATTAATTTTGTAACTAAAAGAATCTGTGCTTTGTTCCTAAAAAGTATGAAAGTGTTTCAAGATTCAAGAGGTACGGGTACCTACTAAAGGCAAGGTAAAATTTCGAAGTGCCGCTTTTCTGTTTTAACGTAGTCGTTAAACGGCTCAAAGGCAACTTTCCATCGAGAATAATCCCAATTTATCTTGCACCAATAGGAAAAAAGTCACTATACCAGTTAGAAGAGTTAACAAAAAGTTATTTTTGACTCTAATTATAATTTTTGGGGGATCTTGGCTTTGTTTTCCCCGCGAAATGGTGTGGACCCAGCACCATTTCTCCACCTTGTTATATACCAGTTACTATACCAATGATTTAATAAAGGCGCGTGATACCACTATTCTAACTCATGAGAGCGCGTGTTGCCTATACTATCAAGTGAAGGAGAGACGGCTCCGGATCTCCATGAGGGTCACGCAGTAAAGTCAGTACCTGACTTCACACGACCTGGAATAGCCGAGAAAAAAGCCTGATACGGGTGGCCTGAAACACCCTGTATATTCAAGTCATCATTACCACGTAGGAGCAAGTCCTGTTCATTACTTAATGGATCATGCGCAACCACACTGTATCTAATATTTTAATTCGTTCGTAATTCGACTAGTGGAGCACTAATGCTCACCGAAGATTAAAGTAATTTTACCGTGTACAAATTATACTGTTCACAACATACTGATCTCCGATTTTCAGCGTGCGCGCAGCCAGCGGTTGAGCACAGGAGGGGTGAATTTCATGAGCGCCGCCGCCCGCGGCGCACTACGGTCCAAAACTCAAGAAAAGGAAGAAATAAGTCGGATAATAACTAGAAGATCACGAAAGTTTCGTAACAGTTGTTTTTTGAGTCGCTAATTTCGACTTTGATGTCAAATTGCCTACATTTTAACACCCTGGCCTATTAAATTGTGGACAAGTTTATGGCACGCTGTGGCGCGGCGTGCTGCCAGCTTGAAACGCGTACTGACGCCTACAAACCTAAGGGGATACTTCAAGCATTGCGCAATGCGTGAAGTATCCAGTTAGGTTTGTAGGCGACAAGTGCGCGTTTCAAGCTGACAGCACGCCGTGCCGCGGCGCGGCTCTCCCGGCGGGCGGGTGGTGACTGATTTCTTAAGGGGAGAGCTCCCTGGCGGAGAAACTAGTGCATCGTGTGATTTTTTTTTTCAATTTTCGACTTTTAAAATTACACACTGGTCGTGTGAAGTAATTAGTGAACTCTCAACGCTAGATGAAGTGTAATAATGAAAGGCGGGTCGTGCGCCATGCGCGCTGCGGACGGCGCAGGGCGGCTCATGAAATTCTCTCCTGTGCTCTGTCGCGCAGCCAGAGACGTCTCCGCTGATTTGAAAAGTCCCGCGTCAATTTGTATATTTTGCCGAGCGCGGCACGGAATTGGCGGGAACCAATGGGAGTGGATGTTTCGACTTGTTTACACTCGCGTCATTTTGGCAAGAAAGTTGTAAGCAAACGTGATCCTTCATCCTTTCGTGAGTGTTGTGGAGTAAGTCCTTTAAATATTTAAAGTTGCTTAAGGTTCTTAATGTTTTGTATGAGTTCGAATCTTAACCACATCTCTCCTAAGAATATTTAAGTCGGTGTTCCCTCGTTTAACCTCAAAAAGTCTCCAATCTTTTTAAAGAGTAGATGCCTCAAGGTTTGCTCTCTGAGTACCTGTACCTAAGTTCTCTCCAACAGTTTATTTTTTCCTCCTCGTAGTTACACTAGCACTATAATGGTAGAAATTATTGGAGCTTTCAAATTTCAGGAAGCTACAAACCCTCAATTTTACTTCGTTTATCGAATTGACGTTTGTTTATTAGCTACAGAAATTCACTTGTCATGTCATGGTCTGTCTACTGCAAATGTCTTTTAATAAAAAGAAACAAAAAAAGTGGAAATCTTGTTGGAGGGCCAGGGGAAAGTCAGGGAACTAGAACATTTTGGAATCAGGGAATTTGAAGTTGAGGAGAATATGGCAACCGTGCCCAGAGTGCAAAAAGCAAATATGAAACTTATTTAGAAATTTAAAGTTTTCTCTTCTTCATGCTATGAGGAAACAGATTTAGGGAAATCCATCAAAAATGCACAGTGGTCTTGAAGCAAAAAAAAAAAAAAAAAAAAAAAAAAAAAAAAAAAAATTACACAAATGTACCCAAAAACGGTTTGCAGGGGGTGAGTCTATAGTACGTATGGACTGAAAATTGAGTAAAATCAAAATTTTGGCTGATTCTAATTTTAAGATATCGCAATTCCAAATTCACATAGTAAATGCAGGTTTACTACTCATTCTGATAAGTTTTTCTGTATTTATTCGTATTTTAAATCGATGTTGATCAGTTCATGATTTATTTATCGTTGGATTCATGTCGATCAAATTCATGCCCTCTCGTTACATGCAGACTACCTATCATTCTCCTTTTTTTTTAGCTGAACATTTCGCCTTCTGCTGCATCTGCAGCAATTGTTGTTACGAATATGTTGTGCGTGTTGATTTCAGCTCATTACATACTCGACTCTCAGAAGGCGTTTTATATGCGCAAGTAGCGTAATCTGTCGGAGAACGAACGAAATAGAAATTGATCAAATCATCTAACTTCTATTGTTCCCCAACAGGGTGCTCTACTTTCGCACATTAAACGCCTTCAGAGAGTCAAGTATGTAATGAGTTGAAATCAGCACGCACAACATATTCGTAACAACAATTGCTGCGGACGCAGCTGAAGGCGAATTGAAAACAACCGTAAAGTACACGTTGAAAAACATTTTACCTCTTTGATTAATATTGTTGCTAATAGACAGTTGTATGTTATGGTCTTTTTATAGGAGATTCTCAAAAAGCTTTTCAACATAAAATGAAACATACAGTAAGTTTAAATGCAAAATAAAATATACCTCACTACATATTTTCATTCTTGGCGGAATGTTTATCCTAAACTTCCCGCCAAGACTGGAGAAGCGATAACACGTACCATAATGCTCTTGAAGCAAAAGAAAAATGCGGCAAAAATATACCCAAAAACTGTTTGCAGGGGCCGAATCTTAAGTTGCCAGTGCTTCAAGAATTTACTTTGGAGACTTCCACAACTTTTCTCCGACCGATATCCCAAAACCTCATTTCCATCGATGAATTTGAAACTTTCCTCTACATGTCTTATCATGCCACGGCATGGATTTTCAACGATTTAGAGGAATGGAGATGTTGCATGTGTGAGGGATTTGCGATTTGACCATTGATTCTTATGTAAAAGTTCGCGCGAAACACGATGGTGCCACTGGTTTTCTCTGGAATCATCTCCCAAGCTCAAAAAAAGCTCTCAAAGTGAGGCCAAAATGGAGGGGATATCCCACCCTACCCTGAGAGTCCACTTCTGCATCAAAACAAACTCTCCATGCAAAGATAGGGAGCAAATACATTACCGAGGTTAGCGTTTTGAGGAATTTGCTTCGTACTATGCAGACAATGGAACAATGGAGAATTGGAGATGTTGCATGTGTGAGGGATTTGCGATTTGACCATTGATTCTTATGTAAAAGTTCACGAAAAACACGATGGTGCCACTGGTTTTCTCTGAAATCATCTCCTATATAAGCTCAAAAAAACCTCTCAAAGTGAGGCCAAAATGGAGGGGATATCCCACCCTACCCTGAGAGTCCACCTATATATCAAAATAAACTCTCCATGCAAAGATAGGGAGCAAATACATTAGGAGGGTTGCCGTGTTTTCAGTTTTGGGGTCCCCGAATAAAGTGGCAACTCTGCTAATGTATTTGCTCCCTATCCTTTGCATGGAGAGTTTGTCTTGATGTAGAGGTGGACTCTCAGGGTAGCGTGGGATATTCCCTCCATTTTATCCTCAACTTGAGAGCTTTTTTTGAGCTTGGGAGTTGATTTCAGAGAAAATAAGTGGCACCATCGTGTTTCTCGCGAACTTTTACATGGGAATCAATAGTCAAATCGCAAATCCCTCTCACATGCGACATCTCCATTCTTCGACGTTTTTGGGAACTTTTTTACAGATGCAACCATCGAAATAGGTGCGATTTAGTAAAACGCACAAGTGACCCATTTCGGCACTCGGCCCCCACTTTCGTTCGACAGCCCGGCGTTCGAAGTGAAGTCTCACTTGGAGCCGAGCTGAAATTCAGGCGTCCAGCCTCCCCGACGAGAGTAAGTAAAGCTATAAAATGATGAAGCCGCGAAGAAGAGGCTGATTTACGGCCAATTGGAGTTGGGCTTAATTTATGGCACCCTCCGTGCAATGCAGCGGCTGCAACGGCGCAATGCTCTTAAACTTAATTTTAGTCGTTTTAAGTGTGCATCTCATCTCTTCTCCTCGACCGCGTCATCAAATCGCCGTGAAACTCGCCCGTTCACCGTGCTCAAACACGAGAAACCGTCATTTTGTATCACAATCGGACACAGATGCAACCGTACTCAGGCCAGCTGATTTGTCTCAATTCGCTCATTCGTGAAATGTGTCAGTTTTACCGGCGGTGCCCCTCTGGGAGGGGGCAAGGGGCAAACCAACGCAGCCCCGTAAAAAAGCAGCCTCTGCGTGGTCGATTCTCGGTGAACCGAGGGCCATTCACCCCTCGAGAAAACAACTGTTGCGAACACTCGACGAGTGAAGTTTGCCAATTTATTGTAATAAAAACGTCCAATTTAAGCACAAGGATATAACAGTCGCGGAAATGTTTCGATGTAGCGGGAAAAAAGATGTTTGATGACTGGACATCGAACCGATTTTTTGACGGAACAGGGTCAAGTTCAGGTAAATCGGAAGCCAATACAACGAAACGATGGATTATATCAGTACCTACATCGAAAATTGTAATATAATGTTGTAGACAGTTATATCAACAGTGACACTGCATGAATGTGTATCTCGTTTTGTGACGTTGCAGACTTTCTGCCTTACTATATTTTTCAAATGAAAAAATAATTAACATCGTTTCTTGAAAACTTCCTTGATTTTTCTCCTCTATGCATCCAGAGAATACACTGCGTGAAAATTTCAAGCAATAGCTTTGGTTTGTGCTTTTTTGATAAAATTAGATGGGAACGGACATTTTGAAACACCGCAAACGAGATATGCGTTCCTCCAGTTTCAGCTTTGGTATACCGTAGATCGATGCACTGAAGATCGATGTACTGGAAAAGGAGACGGAAATTTTCGATCAATTTTTGATTGATCTATTTTAGATGAATCGATCCTTCACGTATCGATTTTCTAAGAGACTTTTTTCAGTACATCGATTGTTACATGACAAAATCATGCCCTCTGAATGGTTGGAAAACACGTTGCCTCGACCGAAGGCTACTTAGGTACGATTGATCAAATTGTTAATTTATTAGGAAGCTGTATCGGAGTGTTGTGTATGTTGCCTAGCCACCGATTGAAGGAGCACTTCTTATTGAAACTTATCGCAGTAAAATTGAAATGTGACATAATTTTTCATTTCATTGCAAATTGCCTATCTCTCTGACATTTCATTTGGTTTATTGTTTAGTGATGTAAAAATATTGCAGTTTTATTGCATTACATCGGGATTTTACTTCAAAATCTTCATTGCACCATGCTACTCGGGCAGTTGATGGTAACGGTATCAGTCCTTAAATGAAAAAACGAAATCATGCATTGTGGGTGTTTTTCGGTACTTTTCTTCGTTGAAAGGACATTTCGTGGTTGTGATGTTTCAGAATCTCCCTTACTAATTTATATTTCAGAGAGGAAACTATTGCGTGAATATTCAATTTTTAGTTTTCAGCATTTTAAAATCATGAAGAACATTTTGTTCAAGTTTTAATGAATTCCGCGGAGCGCTTTAATTACACTGGATGAAAAGCTAAATGAGATCTTGAGATACCGCACTAGGAATGCCCTCTCCGCACTCAGCGCTTCAATAATTGCAAGGGACTTCTCGCAAAATTTGTCAGGGAAATTAGAGCAATTCATTTTCAAAATCCAGTGGCAACCCTGAAAAAAAAGGAGAAAAAAAATTCAGCTTACAGATCTAAAGAGGGTATCTGCGTTAGGAACAAAAAAAAATAAACATTTGTTGACTTCAGCTATCGTACTTATTAGCTGGTCCCTGGGACTTTTTCTCTTCTTTTTTTTCAGGGTTGCCAAAGAATTCAGAAAATAAATCGCCCTGATTTCCCTGACGCATTTTGCTAAAATTCCTTGACAACTGAAGCGCTGAGCGCGAAAAGGGCACTTCTTGGTTGTGGTGTCCCAGGATCTCGGCTAACGTTTCATCCACTATAATTTAAGCAACTCTGCGGAATTCGTTAAAACTTTTACTGATTTTTCCTCATGATTTTACAACACTGAAAAAAAAACACATTGGATCTAGAGTCCAGGCTCTTAAAAACATCGACAAGAAAAAATACTCTTGATTCAATCGGATTTTTGCTTAAATCAAGAACCAAGCCTCTTAATTTGAGCGGATTTCCTTTTGATTTAAGCAAAAATTTGATTGAATCAAGAGTATGATTTCTTGTCAATGTTTTCAAGAGTCTGGACTCTAGATCCAATGTGTTTTTTTTTTTTTTTTTTTTTTTTTTTTTTTTTTTTTTCAGTTTTCTTGTCAGTGTTTTCAAGAGTCTGGACTCTAGACCCAATGTGTTTTTTTTTTTCCAGTGTATACTGAAAACTAAAAAATTTCAGAAAATCCACCCAACAGTTTCCTCTTTAAATGTAAATTAGCAGTGGAAGTCCCGGTCCCTCGAAGGATAGACGCGTGTAAACTTGGTCTGATCTCGGTCCAATCGGCTGATCGCGAGTCCCTAGCTACTCCCGTACTACTCTCTGCGGAGGCGGCACCCGGGACTACAACGACGGCGGTTGTGGCGGCGGCGCGGCGCCTGGTGGAAGGCGCAACCCAGAACGACGACGACGACCGCGAAGTCGGAGTCAGTCGTCTGGGGACAAAAATCCCTCCTTCCGGATAATCCCGACAGATAGCGGGAGAGTCGCCGATTCGCAGACTTGCCGGCATTCCTGGCCGGGCCGGCGAGGCGCGGATCTGGTGAGCCGCCGGGGGGCGCCCGCGAGAGGGGAGCCGGGGCCCATGAGCCGCCGCCGCGACGCCGAGGCCCAAGCACATGTGCTCCCAAGATCCAGACAAGATGCTCTCGAGCCGCAGATGGTCTCCTCGCCCGCGTCCAGAGTGACTAGCCCCATTTCCGCCGTTCCGCCGTAAACGTCTTTACGCGAATCCTCCAGTCCGCCGATCGCGATTTCAGTGTCCGTGACGTTAGTTCCTGCCATACCGCCGCTTTTACGGATTTACGTCGATCCAGGAAATCTCTCCATTGGAAATTTGTGCCAAGGTAAAAAAATCTAAAAATGTCCCTGCGTTCAAATTCCTTACCTCCTCATGCAAAATTTTTGTGCAACTTTTTTCTAACATTTTCAATTTTTTTGTAATAATTTCTGGATTTAACAACACTATAATCACTATGTTTTGATTAGGTTCGGCGAGGTGTTGTGTAAAATAACTGAAAATTATCTGGTAGAAGGAGACACTTTATTTATTTACTTTTTCCTTATGCATTTCGGCATTTTGCCATCATCATAATTCTACCAAATAACTTTTAGTTACTTTACACAACGCCTCGGCGGGTTAAAACCAGGGATGCAACCAATTTGCAGCGTAATAGTATCATTAGTATTGATCACAATATTACCAGAAGAAGTGATAGTGGTGATAGGATAGATAAAAAATAATATTGATAAGATAATAATAATAATAATATTGATAGTGTAATGGCGCCCTTTATGCATAACTTAAATCAGTTTTTCGCTTAAGTATAATAAATATAAAAATTCGTAACAGGAAAACTTCCCTACTCAACTCATTCCCCCTAACATCATAAACGCACTAGCTGCCATCATACGCTAGTTTAATACGTGTCAGTTTCTTAGGCGATTTTTTTTTTCTTTTTTTTTATGAAAATTTCAACCTAAAGAGTAACTACTAGCTAGTACAGAACTATCGATTTCTTTCGAACGAAATTTTTTATTTCTGCATTTCCACCCAATGTAAGAAATGACGTCTCCCATTTCATTTAACCACTCGCTAAGCAGCAATTTGTGGGCCACCCAGTCAGTCAGGTAGACAGTTGATGTTGCTGAATTAACATTTTTGTTTCCGGACTGTTGAGTTAAATTCCCGCGAAAGCATACTCCTGATCCTCGCCTGAATTTTCCGAATGAATGGATCATAAAACTACTCAGTTGACTATTCGTCACTTGCAATACAAAGATGCGGTTTCTTTTTTTGTCATTTCTCGACTTTTGGAATCCGTGAATCTGAGTGTAAAAGCGAGCGTTTTAGATACATAATAATTTTTTAGATACCGAGTACGAATGCTTGTTGATTTTCAACTTTTTCAAATTTCCTCTTCACATTGAAAAGTTTGAGAAATATCGTAAATGACAAGTTTTAACTGTTTATGTAGAAATCTCGGGAGCTTATGTTAATGTTTTTGAGGAATCATATTGCAAAACATAGGTAACTCAGCTGACTTTGCAAACGGTAGCAAAATGTAGTCCAAATAGCCGATGAAAGCGCACCCGGTCAGCTCAAGACCTTTGCGTCAAAGAGTTGAATGAATAAAAACCGATACCACTATTCGAACTCCTAGGAGCCAGTTTTGCCTACCCTGTCAAATGAAGGCGAATCAGCCGGCTAAGCTCCTCAACCAGCTCCAGACCATCGCTTTGAGGGAGGAGTCAAACGAATAAACATTGATACCACTATTCGAACTCCTAGGAGCCAGTTTTGCCTACCCTGTCGAATGAAGGCGAATCAGCTGGCTACAGTTCTTCAACCAACCGGCTTGAAACTTTTGCGTTTAGGAGTTAAACAAGTAAAAACCCTAAAGAATACAACGAGATCCGTCATTTAATCGCTTAGGACCCGCAACACGTTTTATCATATTAATATTTAAAATATGTTCACATACACGTGTAGCCTAACACCTGAAAGCGAAAAAACTGAATGTGAAAAATTTTAAAAAAAAAAGTCATTTCTCGGACGTAGGAGCGTTTTTCCAATCTAAGGTACCCATTTACAGAAGTATTTTTTTTCTGCACTAAAATGGCAAAGAAATTGCTATAATTCTAATTTGTTTTTCTTCTATTTCCAATTCTATTTTTTTAATTTGTTCTAAATTTCGTTGATTTTTGGTAATGATCCGTAGAGGAATTTGTAAATTTTTAATGGGATTTGATGGGGAATCTTAAGATTAAATTAAGTTTTTTCGTCCGACGATGAATTTTGAAACGTCTTTTAGTTTTCGTTTCCTTCTTGTGCAGTGTACAGTGCACACCCTCGTTCATTTTCCTAGTGCGTTCCCTCAGGTAGCGAGAGACCGCGGTTCAGAAGGATGAATCAATCGTCTCTGGATCTGAGTAAGACGACGTTTTCAGAATCGTCGAGTTATTTCCACTCTCTGTGGATTGAGCTATTTGATCGGTCTTTACTCGGTTGACTACAGTTGAATAACCCAACTATGCGGCTCATTACTAATTGAAATCACATCGGTCTTTTGATTGCCGGCCAGTCACTGTTCGTGCAGAGTAAATTCTTATTTATCGAGCAAGTCGCTCTGACATTTTGCGCTTTTATTTTAATCCCACATCCCCTCTCTCCCTCCTCAATCGCTATCATGGCTCCACTGCAAGTGAGCAATGCACAGTTTTTGTAGAAAAAGTTATTTTTTCACTTTCTGCTAAACGGGAATTAGCATAGAAAACGCACAAGATCTTTATCAGTCTTTTCGCTTTTGGAAAATAGCACTGCTCTTGTTGGCTTAAATGTTGACTGATCGTGAGTTATTAGCTCTCGTCAAAAATCGAGTTTTGATCAATTCTATGGAGAAGAAAAAGATAGTAAGATTTGCGAGTTCAAACGCTAAGTTTCTACATCCTGTTTTAACAGCCAATGTTATGCTCCCCAACTGATACGGCGGATGATCTAGACGTATTTATGCCAAAAGGAACTATGTTGCATGCAAACCCTATGCACTTAGTTCCTTTTAGCATAAATACGTCTATTGAATCCTCCACAAGACATGGTTTTTTGCATATTTTACGGACCTGAAATTGTCTTCTGGGAAAGGAAACTTTTTCCAATTAGGCAAGATACTTTTTTTCATTTTTTATTTGGGGCCAACGAACATGTGTTTTTCTGCTTTATTTGTCAAAAGAGTGTCATGTTTCGTCGCTTTGTCTGACGACTATCGACTTGGGTATGGATCATGTGGATCTATATAGATAGATTTATCTGGACTTAGAATTTTTGCCGTTCATCCTTTGCACTAAGTAGTTTTTCCTCCTCTTTAGCCCGTTGACAACGTCATCGTCATGACGTCATATGGATAGACATATTTCGACTTGGAAATTTTTGCCGTGTATCTATTCAACTTTGGACTTGGACATTTCTTTTTGTTTGGACGTCACCTGACCATTTTTCTTTTCACTTAATTCGGCACCCGTGTCACTCTTAAGGTGATTCGATGGACGCTATATTTTGTGTCAGAACGAAATGCGATATTTATAGCATCAGTTGGTTCCAAGTTTTCAGGTACTCATCATTTTTCTCGAATTTTGAGATCGCAATTCTGTTGTCAGGAGACTAAAGAATTTACCCACCAATTTTGACAAACAATGCAACGCAGTAAAGAAGTGTTTTTTTTTTGTTTTTTTCTTTTTTTTTTCAGAGGAAAAATATCGCATTCGATACTGATATCGAAACTGCACACGAATGCTGTATTTTCCTTTTAACAAAACCACGCCTTTCGTACGTTGAATTTGTTTGTCAAAATTGGTAAAAGAATTCTCTAGTGTCCCGACAGCAAAATTGCGATCTCAAAATTTGAGAAAAATGACGAGTAGCTGAAAAAATGGAACCAATCGATGCGGTGCGATACATCGCATGTCGTTCTGACACAAAATATGGCGTCCATCAAATCACCTTAAACAATGTCTTCAGCACAAAGACGAAATAAATGGGGGGGAGGGGGAGAAGTTAAAGAGAAAATACGTAATTTATAAACAATCCACCGCAAGTTGGTGCCGACAATACGAATACAGAGAAATATGGAACGATCGTCGTTCACCCGTGGCTAAGCCGAACACCCCCGGTCCTCCCCCCGCCCCCGCCCCCCGCCAGGAGCATCGAAATTCAACGGAAAATTGATGCGTTTCGGTCCAACTCGTGATCCTTGGTCACCCGTCCGTCGCCACGTCTTTTCGTGACTTTTCAGCTTTCGGAAGTAATATCGCCAACACCCTGCGTCCCTGCGTGTCTTTGATGCCAATATGTGCCCGACGAACCCTCCCTTCGTCCTCGGAGAAGGGGAGTTACGGCTCCCGACATCGAAAAGTGGGATGAAATTGACTGAATTTAGCAAGAAGATCCAAGTCTTTGAGTAAATTTTAGGACTACCTATCATGTTTCAGATATTAATTGGCGGTACGCGGTCTTAAATTGCACCTAAAAATTGTATATTTTCTGCTAAATTCAGATCTATCGCGCTGATATTTCTCGAAAGCCATCAGTATCACCGCATGCTCATATCGTTTCCCAGACGAAAAAACGTAACTCTACTTCAACGTTGTGAGGACAGCTCGAAGAGTTCAATTTTTTACAAAAATATATTTTTACAGCAAGACTTTGTTGATTTTTACGTACAGTTAGGGGAAAAATCAATAACATTTAAATTTGAAAATGCCGAATAGTTTCCCCAGTAACAACACAATTTAGAAGAGGCAAGTTTCCTTGTTGAAAAGTAGTTACATCCTTTGGTCCAGGGAACGTTCAGTTTATCTCATCAAAAGAAGGCAGATTAGTCAATGTCAGCTCATTCCAGCCAGCTCGCGACCATTTTTGTGTTTTGACCATTTAGGGTGTGAGTGTGTGTTTTCATTTTTCGATACATTCCTTGCCTGGCTTACATTGCTTTAACCGGCTGATTCGCCTTAATTTGACAGGGTAGGCAACATTCGATCCTACGAGTTCGAATAGTGGTATCAACTTTCGTTCAGTTAACTTCGAGACACAAATCGACGCTCCTTTTGCATAAGGTCGTTTCTCAATCTTAAAGTGAGCCCTGTTTTACGTATGAATTCGTCCTTTCTCGGGATCATGCGGAAACGAGACACGCTATTACGCCAGAGGAGCGACGAGTTGTGTCGTGAAGTTAAATGGAAGAATGTAAATACCACTATTCGAACTTGCAGGATCCAATTTTGCCTACCCTGTCAAATGAAGACGGATCAGCCGGTTACAGAAGTGTAGGCCAGGAAAGGAATGTATCGAAAG